ATGTAATAATTGGTATCTGTGTAACTTCTGTCCCCCTAAAATGTATAAAATCAAGCTGTGACTCAAGCACCTTGGATGCCTATTTTCAGGACCTCCTGGGGCTGTGTCATGGGCCTTGGTCACTCATATTTGGCTCAGAATAAACCTTTTAAAATATTTTACAGTTTAGTTCTTTTTGTCAACAGCCTCCTGTCACTTTCCCTTGAGAAGACACTGATTTGGAGAATACTCCCAGTGCCGGCCTTTCCTGTAAGAAAACTCCTGCATTCTCATGGAGAGTTGCTTGAAAAACCAGGCAAACAAACCCTGGTTTTTCAGGTAACAGCCAGCCCTCTGTATCCACAGATTCCACCTCTGCTGTTACAGAGGGCTAACTATGTAAAACTTGTAATTTAGAGCCATGTGATTTAAAGAAAAATATCTCATTCATGGATTTGATGGGTACTAATACGCACTTGGCTATAAGCTATTGGTGTATCCGCAGCAGAATGGAACAAAACCATTACAACAGATCCTGAAATTTTGTCAGCTCTCAAAAATTTCTGCTCAAAAAATAGATGCTTACTTTCTGCTTAATTTTTCTGTAAATCTAAAATTTCTCTAAAATAAAGTCTATTAATTTAAAAAATATATACTCTGGAAATGGGTAATACTGTCTTTAAGAAAAACTAGTAGTCAACGTGTTCCTTGTTAAGCAGTTACAAAATTTAAGTTATAGCATTTCTGACCTCGATTCTTAGAAACAAAACTAAACTAGATTTGTTTTGCTTTAGAAGGAATATAAGGAAAACTAATTTGTGAAGTAAGTACTTCCTAAAATGGAGATGAATTCCTGTTTAGATAAACCAGGAGAGGAAGTTAAACTGAGTGAGCATGGGAAAAAAAGACTCCTTTGGGAGGTATGCTTTTTGAGTGTCATTGAAAGTGACTGAGATGTCCAATAATGAGGGGACCGGGCAGTAGTTCATTAATGAAGGAGCAGCATTGTTTTACATCATTAACCAAATTGAAATGATCTGAATGGAAAAGTAGTTTGGAGTATTAACTGTGTACACGATTACTCGCAAGCAGATTATGGGCATAAATGGCTGTTGTATTTCACATAACTGCACATCAACAGCTTTCAAAGGAATCTCAACCATCCACTGAACAAAATTCAGATTTATTTTCCATTTAGATACCTGTTTGATACCTCAAGGCCTTAGACAGTTGTCCTGGATACTTCTAGGAATGCCAGTTATTATACTGAGAATGTTATAATAACTCTTCTACTTATTACCTGCAGCTAGAAGTCTGATGATGGTTATTTTATAGTGTCTCAGGAAATTGGAAAGGTAATCATGACCTAGAGCTTCTACAAACAGAATGGGGGAACACTTCAGAGAAAAAAGCTTGAGTTATATAACTAATAAATGCCAGGTTGCGTTGTTTTTTTGTTGTTTTTTTAATAGAGTTTTTAAACATAAAATCTATAGAGTTTTTTATTATCTAGGTAGTGTTAGGTGCATAGCTATGAGAAGGTATCCCAAGCCCATTTTCTCCTCCCAGCCTTGTTTCCTAAAGTTTTCCTGATGTGTCAAGAGAATGTCACTATAGCCCTGTGAATTAGTAGATATTGCTCTATTGAGATACTTACTTGGCATAAAGTTGGGAGAAAGTAAAGATAAAGGACTACGTAGGCCAGAGATCTCTGCTACGATTCATACCAGCACCTTTCAAAAATTTGCAGCCTATGAAGAGCCAAATATTGCATAGTCCAGATCGTGTTTCCCAACACTATCGATGGAAAATCCTAAAGTGAGAGATTCTCAGAATCAGAGCTCTTACTTCAACCTTGATTCTTTTTTTGGTGTGGGTGGTAAAGACAAACAGGTTTAACTCTGACCTGGTACTTTCTTCCATGTTTCTAAGCCATAACATTAAATATGCAATACTAGAAGGTCATAATTATTCACATAAAATGTCAATGCATTCATTTATTAGTATGCTTCATTTCAGACAGAATTAACAATCTTCTTATTCGCACATGTAGCACTTAGTGAGCCCATTGAATAAACTCTTGGGATAGCCTTAATTAGACTCTGACTACATACAGGTTTTGGCCGGTGTCTTAGTCCATTTTCTGATGCTGTAACAGACTATCATCAATTGGATAATTTATAAAGAATAAAAGTTTACTGGACTCACAGCTCTGGAGGCTAGAAAGTGTAAGAATACAGCATGAGAATCTGGCAAGGACCTTCATGCTGATTCATCTCATGGCAGAAAGGCAAGCAAGCACACAAAACAGAGAAAATGGGGATCTAATTCCCATGAAAACTAAGCCACTCCCATGATAACATTAATCTATTCATAAGGGCCAAGCCCTCATAACCTAATTACCCTTTAAAGGTCCCATTTCTTAATACTATCACGATGGCAATTAAATTTCAACATGGGTTTCGGAGGAGACATTCAAAACAAAGCAGCAGGTACAAGCAGGTTTAAGTCAAAAGTCCATTGCTAGCTATGACTTACCGATGGGAGCCACTGAAATAGTTAAACACCTAGGAAACTATCTTCTTTTGACTTTTCAAGACATTCTGTACCAGATTATATTGGATTATACGCAGAGCAGAAGCAGGCTTTCGCACACCCTCACTTGCAGTGCATATTTCCTATGTTAGGCTCTTCTGTGAAAACTTCTTGTTAATTTTTCAAATCTGGTACTTACTGGGTAACTCTGCTTTTGTGCTTCTTGTTTCCAGTAATCCATTTTATCTCCAGTGTTTTCCATTTGTCTTCATCATTGCAGTTTTATTTTAGCCTTGCAATCATTTGATCTTTTCGCTAATATTTCCTAGCCTTTTTTACTCATTTTCTATGAATTCTAACTCATGCTTCAGCTATTTTGGTACCCTCTAAATTCTTTAGTCTCTAATAAGCTTTCCAAAGCTCCTAAGGATAACTGACTAAGTAAACATTGGAAAAGTACCTTTAATTGTTATAAACAATCACTGTTATGTCACCTATTAAATGTAAACATTTCCATAAGAACCAGTGTAATTTCTTCATGATCAATGGAGATTTGCCCATTTGTGGGCTAGACTGATCACATGAAAACCTCAACTGAACCATTTCCCATTTTATGATTTCCTTTATAATAAAAATTTTTTAAATTATTAAATTACAAATTAGACATACAAAAAAGTATAAGCATTTTATATGAAGAAATAAGAGTAGTCTCTTGTTACTCTTTTGATCATCTTACACTGAATGACCCTCTTATGTTTTCTATTTAAAAGATTTGGGCCAGGCACGGTGGCTGACATCTGTAATCCCAGCACTTTGGGAGGCTGGGCGGATCACGAGGTCAGGAGATGGAGACCATCCTGGCTAACATGGTGAAACTCCGTCTCTACTAAAAATACAAAAAACTAGCCAGGTCTGGTGGCATGCATCTGTAGTTCCAGCTACTTGGGAGGCTGAGGCAGGAGAATCACTTGAACCCGGGAGGCAGAGGTTGCAGTGAACCGAGATCGCACCACTGCACTTCAGCCTGGGTGACAGAGCGAGACTCCGTCAAAAAATAAAAAATAAAAAAGATTTGGGAGCTAAATGCTTCTGTGGGGGTATTAAATAAAATGTATAGGAGGCCATTGATTTTGACTGAGCTCCTACACTAAGCCCAACAGACCAAACCAAAATGGAGTCACTCATGCTACAGTTCCACATCACCAAGACAAAACTAAGTTGTTTATCTGACCTTCCAAGAAATCAAGTGAGTGAGATATAATAGCCAAATCCCCAAACAACACAATCTTAGCTGGTATAATAAGGAAATCCACCTGCTTTAATCTTTACCAAAAAGTAACTCTGAAACAACCCGTCTACCTTTTATTTCCTATTTCTGCTTTCCTTGGCCATTTTCTGCTGATAAAACCAACCACCTCTGTTCAGCTCATCAGAGCACTCATTCTATTTTGTAGAATGAGGTATTACCTTATTCTAGAATGGCAAATAAAAGCCAATTAAGGTCTCTAAATTTGTTGTAATTTTGTCTTTTGATGGGGGTGAGCCATTTTTGCATCCTCTGATAATATCTTATTGTGTACAACATGTACACCTGCACACCATTCTACTTCATTTGTTTACAAATACAGCATGCTGGCAATTTTTCTTCATGTCAAAAATATCTATGTCCATTGTAAAAAAAAAAAAAAAAAGTTAGGCAGGAGAATCCTTGAATCTGGGATGTGGAGGTTGTAGTGAGTTGAGCTCATGCCATTGCACTCCAGCCTGGGTTACAAAAGTAGAATCCCTATTAAAAAAAAAAAAAGTTAGGTAATTTGGATGAACAGAAAAGAAGAAAAATAATATAAAAATCATACAAAATTCTACCACCTGGAGATGTTTCTTTTTTGTATATTTCCTTTTGTGTAACCAGGAAGGAGACCTATGCTGCTTACTTATCCTTATAAAGGAATTTCCATCTTATACCTCCTGTTGCTAATGCTGCCTGATTTTCTACCACGTGGCCCCATTCCACAAGTCACACAAATCACACTGACAGTGAACACCCTGACTATCTTACTCAAGGTTTAGTCAAGAAAACAGACACCACCCTAGACTTTTCAAACAAAATGAACAGGAAAGTTAATAAGGAAATTGGTGACAGAGGAAATGGAAAAGCTGAGACGCCAAACACAGGATGGGATGATGAGGCAACTGAGAGGTCGGCAACAGCCGAAAGGAACTGCCATCCTGGAACTAAAGAGTCAACAACGGGAGAAGGTCGTTTTATCAGAGCACAGAAGTTGAGGCCAACCAGAAGGAGCAGTACTAAGGAGAGGGCATTTCCCCAGGGGAGCTGAAACCACAGAGGGAGCATTTGTTGGGGAGGAATTGGAGACACAAAGAAAAGCAGTCACAGAAAAGACAGAAATAGGGGCAATATCCTAGCCTTTCCCCTCTTCCCACCCTCCAGTCATCCACTATTATCTTTCCGTGGCCAAACTTACCTGGAAGACTTCAGGTGATGGAAATGATGGAAGGTGGGGATGGGATGGTAGTACGCACAGGCAGCTGGCCAGCAGTTGTCTAAGAGTAGCACCTGAAGTGACTGGCCACACATCACCTATGGCGTAGTCTTGCCAAAAAATGTTTAAGCTGAATCTAATCATGAGGAAACAATCAGGCAAATCCAAATTGAAAGACATTGTACAAAACAGCTAGCCTAGGCCCTCCAAAATGTCAATGTCCTAAAAGACAAAAAAGGACAGAGAACTTATCTAAATTAAAGAACATTAGGGAGGCTTATGCCTGTAATCCCAACACTATGGGAGGCAGAGGCGAGAGGATTACTTGAGCTCAGCAGTTCGAGACCAGCCTAGGCAACATAGTGAGTCCCCATCTCTACATATAAAAAAATCAAAAAATGAGGCGGGAGGATTACTTGAACTCAGGAGGTCAAGGGTGCAATGAGCCATGATCAAGCCACTGCATTCCTACCTGGGTGACCAGAGTGAGATCCTCCTCTCTTTCAAAAAAAAGAAAAGAACATTAGGGAGACATGGTAACTCATTTTGATATGTGATTATTGATTAAATACTAGATCAAAAAAGAATGATATATAAAGGACATTATGGGGCAATTGTAGAAATATAAATATAGTTAGTACATTAGATGATAGTTGTATATAAATGTTAAATTTCTTGAGTGTGGTAATTTGGTTGTGGTTATGTAAGAGAATGCCCCTGTTCTCAGCAGATGTATGCTAAAGTATTTAAAGGTAAAATGTCATGATGACTTCAACCAACTCCATACATACATATATGCATGGAGAACGAATGTGTGATCAAACAAATGTGCCCAAGGTTAAAACTGGCGAATCTAAGTGAAGCATCTAGAGATAGTCATGGTACTATTCTTGTAACTCTCCCAAAGGCTTTTCAAAATAAAAACTCGGTGAAAAAAAAATAGGATGGCCTCTGACCTCCGACCACTGACACGAGGTAAAGAGATTAATTAAACCAACTGTTCTTAGGAATTTGAACCTAAACACAGAAAAAAAGATCTGCTAGTTAGCAATAAAGCTGGAGGTGACAGAAAAACAGTTAGAGTTCAGTGATAGCAAACTAAAATCACGTACACACCAAAATTACGAGGTGGAAGATAGGTACAGCAAATTGTTTGCAAAAATAGGTGCCAAGAATGCTTCTCATCTCGTAAGCACTCCTTCCATCATGAGGTGAAATCTGTTTCTCCTCCCTGCATTCTAGACTGGCCCTGTGACTTGCTTTGACCAACAGAATGCAGAAGTGACACGGTGCCAGTTCTTGACCAGGAAGAGGCTTGACATCTTGCTCTTTGCTTCTCTTGGAGCCCTGAGCTACCATAATAAAGAAGACTGACTGCCTGCTGAAGAGATTGGCCTGGCCAGTCCTTTGCTGTTCTAGACACCTCTGCTGAGCCACACATGTGAGTGAAGCCACCCGGATCCTCCGGCCCCAGAAAAGGTGGCCCAGCCAACACCACACAGAGAAGAACCAACCTGTTCCTGTCAATCCCTTCCCAAAGATTAGCATTTTGAGCCAATAAATAAGTAGTAGTTGTTACTTTTAAGACAATACATTTTGGAGAGATTTGTTATACAGACAATCCCCACTTGCAATGGTTCAACTTAGTATCTTTCAACTTTTGGATGGTGCAAAAGTGACACACATTCAGCAGAAACTGCACCTCGAGTACTCATCCAACCATGCTGCTTTTCGCTTTCAGCATAATATTGAATACATCGCATGAGATAGTCAGCACTTTATATAAAATGGGCTGTGTGTTAGATAATTTTGCCAACTTTAAGCTAATGTCAGGTGTTCTGAATACAGTTAAGGCAAGCTAGGCTAAGCTACCTTAGCCTAGGTTAGGTGTATTACATGCATTTTCGACTTAATGATATTTTCAATTTACAATGGGTTTATCAGGACACAGACCCATTATAAGTCGAGGGGCATCTGTATAGTTAAAGGAAACAGAGCAGACACACCGAGATGCCTGTAGGAAACACTGTCTAAGTTTTACTATTCCAGTTTCTTCCGTGTGTAGGTTCAAAACAACCCCTGCTCTTTTTGAGTCAAATTGAGCAGGGCTCTGTTGCTTGCCACAACAACCACAAAAAAGCCAGAGGGGGAAAAAAATGTCCCTTCCCAGATGCTCTGCCTATTCTTTTATTCCTTTACTTTCTTAATAAACTTGCTTTCACTTTAAAAGAAATAAAATGTCCCTTCTTGTCCTTTCTCTTTGCAGGTATTTTTTACTATCCAAAGATTCTGAATAAATATCTCTTCTTTCTACTTGTTTCCATTGACTTCCTCTTTTATTAACAGCACCTGATTTTTAAAATAGTTGTTGTTTTTTAAAATGTTGTAAAATGCATCATACAAATAGAAGGATGGATAAAATTGCTTGATTGAATATTTAAAAGTAATGGCAAATTAAAAGTAAGGGCAAAAGCCGCAATTACTTTTGCACCAACCTAACATAATAAGATAAATAATCATCCACCCCGTTTAAGATATAAAATATAGGCCAGGTGTGTTGGCTCATACCTGTAATCCCAGCACTTTGGGACACCAAGGCAGGCAGATCACAAGGTCAGGAGTTTGAGGCCAGCCTGGCCAATACGGTGACACCCCATCTCTGCTAAAAATACAAAAATTAGCTAGGCGTAGTGGCAGGTGCCTGTAATCCCAGCTACTTGGGAGGCTGAGACAGAAGAATCGCTTGAACCCGGGAGGTGGAGGTTGCAGTGAGCCGTGATTGCGCCACTGCACCTCAGCCTGGGTGACAGAGTGAGACTCCATCTCAAAAAAAAAAAAGACACAAAATATAACCAGTCCTTTAGAAGCCTTTGTTTATCCCTCCCCAATTGCAGTCTCTTGTCCACCCCCAGTGATAACCGCAATAATGACTTCTGTCAATCATTCTCTTGTTTCCTTTACAGTTTTCCACCAATAAATGCAACCCTAAACAACATGACAACTTTCATCTTGAAAAACTGAGCAGCAAGCACCAATCTAGAAGGATAAGGAAAGGGTGATGTTACCACTGTTTGAGAAAGGCTCAGGAGGAGAAGATAAACTGAACAGCCTCTGCGTCATTATCTGGCTTCAGCTTCCCTAAGCGTTTATAAAAGCTTTTATGAGAAAATCTTTGAGTAAGATGATGAGTAACACTGGGAAATGCTGGGCTCAGCACAGGTGAGACATGCGGTAGCACTGGAGGATGGGCCAGGTTTTAGATGTCTGGCCAGGATATAGTCAGAAGGAGAGGGCTGTTCTGTATATTCTGCTCATCATGACTTCCCCTCCACTTCCCAGAAGTCAAAGCAGAACATTACTAGATGATAACCACAGTAGCTCAAGCATCAGAGCATGGAGGAACGAGCAGGAACTTTATCAGCATGTGGTCAAAATAAGATAAACACAGAGAAAAATCTGGGGCAGACTCTGGGTATTTAGTTCTTGATTTAAAAGTTAGCATGGGCCAGGTGTGGTGGCTCACGCATGTAATCCCAACGCTTTGGGAGGCCATGGCAGGAGGATCATGAAGTCAAGAGATTGAGACCATCCTGGCCAACATGGTGAAACCCTGTCTCCACTAAAAATACAAAAATTAGCTGGGCGTGGTGGTGGGAGCATGCCTGTAATCCCAGCTACACGGGAGGCTGAGGCAGGAGAATTGCTTGAACCCGGGAGGTGGAGGTTGCAGTTAGCCGTGATCGCACCACTGCACTCCAGCCTGCCCACAGAGCGAGACTCCACCTCAAAAAAGAGAGTTAGCCTGATGGCAGTGGGGACAGTGGTGATGGAAACCCTCAGTATGTCTCTCCCTGGAGTCCCAGTGTCCCACTGCTTCAAGCTGGACTTGTTTCCTTCTGCACCTAGTGCGTAACTGCCATTCTGGACTCTCCCATCACCCTTATCCTAGAGTCCCCTCACCACCCTCCTATGTTAGATCCCTATCTGTTGCGTCCCATATGTTCTTTTTCTTGGCTTGTCCTCTCATTCAAGAAGCACAGCCTCCAGCAGCTCCTTAAGAAAGAATGCATGGGAAGTAAATCTTGCACATCTGAAAATGTCCTTATTTTACACTCATATTTGACTGCTAATTTAGCTGGATGCAGAATTCTTGGCTGGAAATAGTTTTTCTTAAGAATTTGACAAGCTTTGCTCTGGTGTCTCTTGCCTCTACCATTGTCTATTGAAGCAGGCAAAGCCAAAGCTGATGCCCAGTCCTTTATATTTGATCTGCATATGTACCCTCTCCCTTGCTGTCTAAGCTTTCAAGATCTCTTGGACTCTGTGTTCTGAAATTCCATGGTAATGTGTCTTGACAAGTCTTTTTTCATACATTTCTCTAGGCACTTGAAGAACGTTTTCAATCTGGAAACTCATGTCCTTCGTGAGTTTTTTCTTTTTTTTTTTTTTTAAGAGACAGGGTCTTGCTATGTTGCCCAGGCTGGAGTGCAGTGGCTATTCACAGGCACAATCCCACTACTGATCAGCACGGGAGTTTTGACCTGCTCCGTTTCCGACCTGGGCCAGTTCACCCCTCCTTAGGCAACCTGGTGGTCCCCCGCTCCCGGGAGGTCACCATATTGATGCTGAATTTAGTGCGGACATCCGATCGGCATAGCGCACTACAGCCCAGAACTCCTGGGCTCACGCGATCCTCCCGCCTCAGCCTCCCGAGTAGCTGGGAATACAGGCATGGGCCACCGCGCCCGGCCTTCCTGAGTTTTGAGTAAACTTTCTGTATGGTTTGTATGACGACTGCCTCTCCTACATATTCTTTTTCTCTCTTGAACACCTATTATTCAGATATTGAACAGTCCAGCCTTAACTTTAATCTTCTCTATCTTTTCTCTCCTATTTTCCAACTCTACGTCTTCTTGGGCGATTTCTTCAAGTTTATCTTGCAACTCTTCTGTCACATTTTTCAGGTCTACTCTCTTGCTTCACTTTTTAAGGGCCCTTTTTATTCTCTTAAAATTTATTGTCTGGGTGCAGTCGCTCATGTCTGTAATCCCAGCACTTTGGGAGGCCAAGGCAGGTGGATCACCTGAGGTCGGGTGTTCAAGACCAGCCTGACCAACATGGAGAAACCCCGTTTCTACTAAAATACAAAAAACTAGCCAGGCATGGTGGCACACACTTGTAAGTCCCAGCTACTTGGGAGGCTGAGGCAGGAGAATCCCTTGAGCCTGGGAGGTGGAGGTTGCAGCGAGCAGAGATCACACCACTGCACTCCAGCCTGGCGACAGAGCAAGACTCTGTCTCAAAAAAAAAAAGTATCATAATCTTACTCTGTTCTTATAACATGGGTGCAATATATTTTGTACCTTTCCGAGTATATTAATAGCAGACTTTTAAAGTTTTCATATCCTTGTTTATTCTATGGGGTTGTTTTGTTTTCCTTTACTTTGTTTTGGGCTTTCTATTCAATGTCTGAAGCAGCATCTGATTCTTCTTTGAAGAGCTGCTGCCTCCTGTATTCTCAGTCCACGTGAGTGAATGCATCATTTGCTAATTCTTTCAACTTATATAATCAACTTGCTTTAGTTTGGATGTTTGTTCCCTCCACATCCCATGTTGAAATTTGATCCCTAATGTTGAAGGTGGGGCCCAATGAGAGGTTTTTGGGTCATGGGGGTAGGTCCCTTATCAATATATTAGTGCCTTCCCTCAAGGGTAAGTTCTTCCTCTATTCCTTACCAGGAGAACTGATTGTTAAAAAGAGCCTGGCACCGCCTCCACACCTTACGTCCTCTCTCGCCATGTGATCTCTGCATACACTGGCTCCCCTTCACCTTCCACCATTAGTAGAAGCAGCCTGAGGCCCTCACCTGATGCAGATGCCAGTGCCGTGCTTCTTGCAGAGCCTACGGAACTATGAACCAAAGAAGCCTCTTTTCTTTAGAAATTACCCAGCCTGGCCGGGCGCAGTGGCTCACGCCTATAATCCCAGCACTTTGGGAGGCCGAGGTGGGTGTATCACCTGAGGTCAGGAGTTCAAGACCAGCCTGACCAACATGGAGAAACCCCATCTCTACTAAAGATACAAAATTAGCCGGGCGTGGTGGCATAAACCAGTAATCCCAGCTACTCAGGAGGCTGAGGCAGGAGAATCACTTGAACCCAGGAGGCGGAGGTTGCAGTGAGCTCAGATCACGCCATTGCACTCCAGCCTGGGCAATAAGAGTAAAACTCTGTGTCAAAAAAAGAAAAGAAAAGAAAGAAATTACCCAGCCTCAGGTATTCCTTTATAGCAATGCTAAATAGATTAAGACAATAATTAATCTGCCTGAGCTTCAGTGTTTTCATCCATAAAATGAGGATGGACATAGAATCTGTTTCACAAGGATTGCCAAGAGAATTTAGTGAAATCATATAGAGGACACAGATTATGTGTTCTTTTCTGGCTTAGGAAGGTTAAATTGCCCAAACTTACACATAAAATCATGGGACTCAGAATCATAATCTGACACATAGTCAATACTCTATAAATTTCAGCTATCATTATGATGACATAGTTCAAATGGGACTCACACCACCTCTCAGTTAAGGAGAGGAGTACTGGGGAGAGATAGCATGGGGAGGAATGCCAGATATAGGTGATGGGGAGGAAGGCAGCAAATCACACTGCCATGTGTGTACCTATGCAACAATCTTGCATGTTCTTCACATGTACCCCCAAAGCTAAAATGCAATAAAAAAAAAAAAAAAGGAGAGGAGTATGTGAGCCAGACCTGACCAATGAGATTCAGCACTAGGATTTTTGTTGGAATGATTTGAAAGGAAATACTCTTTTCCTGTTAGATTATTAGTTGGTAAAGCATAATCCCAGAGCTGCTGGTAGCTCTCTTTACCAATGTTTTTAGAGTGTCTATCTGAAAGTAAAGCCAAACCAAGAGATGGAAACCAATTACTGATGATGAAGCTGGATGCAACCTTACCTGAAGGCCTTGTGACCATGGATTTTCCATTTTTATGAATCAATATCTTCCTTTTCTTTCTCATAAGCCATTTTTAGTTGACTTTTCATTACTTGCAACAGAAAGAATCCCTTGTAATACAAAAAAAAAAAACCCACTGTTTTGAAACTAGGTATTTCACTTAATATAACATTATCATACATTCATGTTATTAACAATATTCTTCAATATTATTTTGTGTCTTGTATTTTATTTATGAAGTCCATGTTAGTGGACAGATATTATTAGTTTTTTCAATATTATAAATAACACTGAAATGAATATCCTCATAGTTAAATTTTTATAAATATCATGATTGCTTCCTGAAAATAAATTCCTAGAGGTGAAACTTCTGGGTTGAAAGTTGGGAAATATTAAGGGTTTTGTTATAGATAGTAAAATTGACCCCTTGAATGGTGTACCAATTTGTTTTCACACTAGAAACATATAAGAATGCCTGTTTTCTCCATCTATTGCCTGTAGTGGATAGTATTTCTCTTAAAATCTCTGCTAAGTTAGTAACCTATACACAAACATGGTTCCTCATTTTACTTCATATTTATTAATTATCTACCATTCATAGATTTTTTTCATTAATTTGTGCTAGATTCAGCTTGTTAATATTTTATTTAGGAATCCTGCATCTATATTCTGAAATTGGTTCTTCTGGTACTCTATGTGCTCAGACTTTTTCTAGTTTTATACAATAAATTTTAAATAGAGAGGTTTGAAGATGGAAAACCTGGGTTCGAATCTGAATTCCACAATACAGTGTGGAACCTTCGGCAATTTAATCTTCCTAACCCTGACGAAGAGTAACCCAATGGAAAGTGAGACATTAAACCCCCGCAGAACCTGGAAAGTCTCAGTCCAGGGAGGTTCAAGGTGGAAAGGTGAGCCATAGACCCAAAATCAAGGGGGTATTTAACAGTGTGTCATAGATGATCAACTACCAAATCTCCTCCTACCCCACACATGCAGGTGAAAAAACTGTTCTGTATACTGACTGTGGTCATGATTACATCAATCTCTACATGTGTTAAAATGTATAGAACTGTATACCAGAAAGCTAATTTTACTGTATGATAATTTTAAAATAAAAAAATTTTAAGAGGCATAAAAGAATATCAAAGGAAGGATAGGAAATTGTTAGATTTTAATAACGACAAGAGATATGTCAACTAAATACAATATATGGCCCTTATTTGAACCCAGATCCAAAGCATCTAATTTTATTTATTTAGTTAGTTATTTTTTGAGACAGAGTTGCTCTGTCACCCAGGATGGAGTGCAGTGGCGCACTCTCTGCTCACTGCAACCTCTGCCTGTGAGGTTCAAGTGATTCTCCTGCCTCAGCCTCCCAAGTAGCTGGGACTACAGGCGCATGCCACCACGTCCGGCTAATTTTTGCATTTTTAGTACAGATGGGGTTTCACTATGTTGGCCAGGCTGGACATGAACTCCTGGCCTGCAAGTGATCCGCTCACCTCTACCTCCCAAAGTACTGGGATCACAGGCATGAGCCACCACAACTGGCTCAAAGTAACTAATTTTAAAAAGACATTTTAAACACTAGTGAAAATATAAATGCATAATAACTCTGAAATGATATCATGGTATTATATATTATGATAAATGATATGGTAGTTATATATGATGGCTATGTACTTTTAAAGCCCTTATCAGTTAGAGACACATACTAAAATATTCAAAGGTGAAACTACATGACGTCTGGGATTTGCTTTTAAATACTCCAGAAAAAAAAAATGTATAGATATAGCAAACATATGTAACAGAATAAGAGTGGGATTTTCTTCTCTTTGTTCACTGCTGTGTCTTCAATTTCTACAAGTTTGAGGGTATGTGGTAGATACTTAGCAAATATTAGTTGAATGAATTAGTTGAATGAACTCCTCTTATTGCCCATCTCAAACTGTGACTGCACATACCTTTCCTGATGTCTCTGTCTCTTAGCTCCACTATCACTCCTGACTTCTCTCACGTACAGTACTGCAACTGCTCGTTGATGAATCCATGTCTAAAATCCTGCTCAGATAGAAGGAAAAGTCTTCACTGGTAAAGTTCAATGAGTAGAGCCATCCCAAGTTTTCCATTTTCCTTTATAGTTTTCACTGTCCATATGAGTCCACAGTAATCTGGCCCCTGACTAACTTTCCAATTACACACTCCTACTGTCTCCTTCCATGAACCCTACACCCCAGTCCCACAAAAAACTTACTGTCCATCACAAACACCTTGATAGATTAAATTTCTCTGCCTTTGTAACTGGAGTTCCCTCTGCTTAGGATGCTCTTTTCTCCTTATACATCTAGTGAGTTCTGTTCATTCTTCAAAATTCAGTCAGGAGTGAAATCAGTAGCACGGCAGGGTAGGATGTTCCAGCTCCCATCCCCCTATAGAAACACCAGTTAAGGCAGGCAATGACAGATGAGAATCACTACGTGGGAGGCCTGGAGTCTGGCTGAGGTTCCAGCATGCCACTGGAGCAAATCAACCCAAGAGTGGAAGCACTGAAAAGGGTAACACGTGCAGTTCCACTTTACCTGCATTATCCCTTCCCCACAGAGGCACAGCTTGTGCTGAGGGAAGCTTTTTTGGCCTTCCATTTCTCCTACAGGGGAAGGTGAAAGTATAGTAAACACCTAGCTTCCCCAGACTTGAAGAACACTGACCAAGAGGCTCACTTATGTCTCTCCCTGCCCAGAATACAAATGACTGATCACCTAGGAACAGGGAGAAGGGAGTGGAGTGCACAGAAACTGGCATGTGGTTTCAACAACCAACCACAGATTCTGCCAACTAGCTCACAGGCCCCAGCAGGAGATTTGCCCACAAATCTCATCAGATGACTCACCTGAGGAACCCCACCCAACAAGTCTATGTACCCTACATGACCTACCCCACCATATATGGGGCCCAATACATGTATGGGGCCCAATACCATTGTGCATGGCCCATATTAACTGCTGCAGAGAGAACATGAACATTAACAAGAGGCATGGGTCTTAGCAGCTGGCTCAACTCTGCTGGACTTATGAAAACATCAAGTAAAATAATATACATATTACAGAAATCCCAAAAGGACCAGAGAAAGAGAAAGGGAAAGAAAGCTTATTTTAAAATATAATGGCTCTCTTCCTTGGCATTGCCAAGGTGGCAGCCATCTCCTCGTTGGCATCATGGCCACCCTCAGACCCCTTGTAAAGTCCAAGATCACAAAAAGAGAACAAAGAAGTTCATCTGGCACCAGTCAGACTGATATGTCAAAATTAAGCGTAACTGGCAGAAACCCAGAGATATTGACAACAGGGTTCGCGGAAGGTTCAAGGGCCAGATCTTGATGCCCAACACTGGTTATGGGAGCAACAAAAAAACAAAGCATATGCAGCCCAGTGGCTTCCAGAAGTTCCTGGTCCACAACATGAAGGACCTGGAAGTGCTGCTGATGTGCAACAAATCTTACTGTGCTGAGATTGCTTACAATATTTCCTCCAAGAACCACAAAGCCATCATGGAAAGAGCTGCCTCCTGGCCATCAGAGTCACTAACCCCAATGCCAAGCTGTGCAGTGAAGAAAATGAGTAGACAGCTCATGTGCACGTTCTGTTTAAATAAAACTGTAAAAACTACAAAAAATAAAATAACAGAAAACCTTCCAAATCTGTAAAGAGAAAAAAAAACACCCAGATCCATTAAACCCAAAGAACTACATATACATTGAGAATAAAAAGGTCTTCACCAAAACACATTATAATCAAATAGTCAAAAATCAAAGACAAAGAGAGATTTTTTAAATTTTTGTTTTATTTTATTTTTTAACCTCCTCAAATTATTTTTACCAGAGAATTTTTAAAGCAGCAAAATAAAAACAACTCAACACATACAAAGGAAACTCCATAAGACTATCAATGGGTTTCTTGCCAAAAACCCTGCAGACCAAGAGAAAGTGGAATGATATGCTCAAAGTGCTGAAAGAAAAAAAAAAACTGCCAATCAAAAACATACCCAGCAAAGCCATCCTTCAAAAAGGAAAGAAAGAGAAAGACCTTCCCAGACAAACCAAAACTGAGGAAGTTCATCACCCCTGGACTTGCCTAACAAGAAATGTGAAAGGGAGATCTTCAAGTTGAAATGAAAGGAACATGTATTAGCAACATGAAAACATATACTCACTGATAAATGTAAGTATATAGTCAAACTCAGAATTCTGTAATACTGTGATGATGGTATATAGTTGGATACACAATATAAAAAGATGTAAATTGTGTTATAAATAATATAGAATATGGGGGAGAAGTGAAAGTGTATAGTCTTTGTATGTAATAAAAATTGTTATCAGCTTAAAATATACTATTATAACTGCAAGATGTTTTATATAAGCCTCATGGTAATCACTCACACAAAATCCTGTAGTAGATACAAAAAAGACAAAAAGAAAAGAATCAAAGCATACTACCACAAATAATAATAATAAAGAAGCCACAAAGGAATACAGCAAGAGAGGAAGAAAGGAACACAAATAGCCTGAAAATGAATGGATGAAAACCACATCCCATAAAAATAACCAAAAGAGAGCAAAGGTGGCTATATTTATATGAGATAAAATAGACTTCAAGTCAAAAACTGTCATAAGAGACAAAGAAAGTCATTATATATACTAACAAAAGGATCAATTCATCAGGAAGACATAAAATAGTAATACATAGTAGAAGAAATCCATACCCCACCCAACAATGGATGGATCATCCAGACAGAAAATAAATAAGGAAACAGTGGAGTTAAACACTAGATACAAAACAGATATAATGAACATATACATAACATTCTATCCAACAGAAGCAAAATACACATTCTGAAAGCCACATGGAACATTCTCCAGAATAGATCACATGTTAAGCAACAAAATAAATCTTGACAAATTTATGGAGATTGAAATCATGTGAAATATCTTTTCCAATCACAATGAAATGAAACTAGAAATCAATAATAGGAGAAAAATTGGAAAACTCACAATATATAGATATTAAGCAACACACTCCTGAAAAACCAATGGGTCAAAGAAGAAATTAAAAGCAGAGACAAAAATACCTTGAAACAAACAAAACTGGAAAAAAAAAAACAAACAAAATGGGATGTATGGGATGCAGCAAAAGCAGTTATTGAAGGGAAGTTTATAGCAACAAATGATCACATTAATAGAAGAAAAGATCTCACATAAACAACCTAAAGTTATACCCCAAAGAAATAGAAAAATAAGAACAAAGCCCAAAGTTAGTAAAAGGAATAATAAAATGTAGAACAGAAATAAATGAAATAGAGATGAGAAAAACAATTTTTAAAAATCAACAAAACAAAGAGTCGGTTTTTTGAAAAAAACAAAATTGACAAACCCTTAGCTAAACTAAGAAAAAAAAAAGAGACCAGATGTAAATAAAATTGTAAATGAAAGATGAGTCATTCCAACTGATACCACAAAAATACAAAGGATCATAAGAGGCTACTGTGACCAATTAGACACCAACAAATTGGGTAGCATTAAAAAATGGATAAATTCTCAGAACTTACAACCCACAAAACTAAGTCAGAAGAAATACAAAATCTGAACAGGGCACTAATAAAGACTAGATGGCTTCACTGCTGAATCCTACAACCCTTTAAAGAAGAATTAATGCCAATCTTTCTCAAATTTTTCCAAAAATTAAAGAGGAGGGAACACTTCTAAACTCTTTTTACAAGACCAGCATTACCCTGATCCCAAAGCCAGATAAAAACACTACAAGAAAAGAAAATTACAAGGCAATATCCCTGATAAACACAAATACAAAAATCCTCAATAAAAATGCTGGCAAACAAAATTCAACAATACATTAAAAGAATAATACACCATGATCAAGTTAGATTTATTCCTGGGATGAGAAAATGGTTCAAAATACACAAATCAATAAATGTGATCCATTACATTAACAGATTGGAAAATAAAAATAATCATCTCAATAGATGCAGAAAAAGAATTTGACAAAACTTAACATCTTTTCATGATAAAATTTCTCAACAAATTAGGTACTGAATAATGTAACTCAACATAATAAGGCCATACATGACAAGCCCACAGCTAGTCATACTCAACAGTGAAAGTCAAAAGTTTTCCTCTAAGATCTGGAACAAGCAAGGATATCCATACTCACTACTTCTAGTACCATGAAGTAGTACTAGAAGTCCTAGCCAGAGCAATTAGGCAAGAAAAAGAACAAAATGGCATCCAAATAGAAAAGGAAAAAGTTAAATTGTCTCATTTGATAACATGATCTTTCTTATATGTAGAAAACCCTAAAGTTTCCACCAAAAAAAACTGCTAAAACTAATAAATAAATTGAGTAAAGTTGCAGGATATAAAGATCAACCTAAAAATATCAGTATCATTTCCATACCCTGACAATGAACTATCCAAAAAAGAAACTGAGATAGCAATTCCATTTGCAATAATATCAAGAAGGATAAAATACTTAGGAATAAACTTAAATAAGGAGGTGAAAGGTCTGTACCCCGAAAACTATAAAACATTAATGAAATACACTGGAAAGTCATAAAGAAATGTAAAGATATCTGCAAGACAGTTATTGGGTGAGGGAGTCTTGCATTGATTTAGTTCTTCCCCCTTTCTTGCTTGTAGTTTCCAAAAATAACTATACAATGTGCTGGGAATTCAGCATCCTGAGATAAGGAGATGGCCAGAACAGCCCGGGCTCTATTCCAGTCCCCCCTAGAAATAAGATGTCCTTCAATGTGTTAGCCCAGTATGTCACATACCCCAGGGTATTAAAAAAATTAATTAAAAAACCCAGCCAGGTGCAGTGGCTCATGCCTATAATCCCAGCACTCTGGGAGACCAGCCTGGGCTACAGGGCGAAACCCCATCTTTGCTAAAAATATGAAAATTAACCAGGCCTGGTGGTGCACTCCTTTAGTCCCAACTATACAGGAGGCTGAGGCAGGAGAATCTCCCAGGAGGTGGAGGTTGCAGTGAGTGGAGATAGTGCCACTGCACTCCAGTCTTGGCAACAGAGTGAGACCCTGTCTGAAAACAAAAAGCCAGAGCAGACTGCTTTTCTGGGGGAGGTCCCTCAGCTGCAGTACAGGTGGATATGTCCATATGACACCCCATCCACCACAGCAGCTTTCCAGAGATGGGGAATGCTTGCAATCAGCACTGGGCTTTCATTGTCCCTTGCTGCCTATCTGTAGTTAATAAATTCATTACATTTAATTTGTTGCATATAAGTGGGTTAAGTCTTGCTGGACTCAGAGAAGTTGGTAATCAGTACACAGTGAACCTATTCCACAAAATCCCATGTCCATGAACAGGAAGAATCAATGTTGTCAAAATGTCTATACTACCCAAAGCAATCTAAAGATCCATTGCAACTCCATTCAAAATTCCAATGGCATTTTTCACAGAAATAGAAAAAAAAAAAATCCTGAAACTTGTATTGAGCTACAAAAGACCTCTAATATCTAAAGCAATTGTGAATAACAATTAAAAAGCTCAACATAAACATTTAAAAAATGGAATTCAACCTTATTTATACCATACACAAAAGTCAACTCAAAATGGATTAAAGACTTAAATGTAAGATCTGAAATCATAAAAATTTTAGAAGAAAACATATAAGAAAGCTCCATGACACTGGTCTTAACAATAATTTGACGGGTGGGGTAGTCCATCAAAATCCATATCCATTTTTGGATATGGTACCAAAAGCACAAGCAACAAAAGCAAAATAAATAGGAATATATCAAATTAAGAAGTTTCTACACAGCAAAGAAAACAATTAACAAAATGAAAAGGCAACCACAGAATGGGAGAAACATTTGCATACCATGTATCTGATAAGGCCTTAATATTCCAAATATATAAGGAACTCATATAACTCAACAGCAAAAAACAAACAACCTGATTTTGAAGTGGGCAAAATACCTGAACAAACATTTTTCCAAAGGAGACATGCAAATGGCCAACAGGCATATAAAAAGGAGCTGAACATCAGTCATCATCAAGGAAATGCAAGTCAAAATTACAATGATATATAATCTCACACCTGTTAGCATGAGCATTATCAAAAATTCAAAACTAACAAGTGCCGGTAAGGATGTGAAGAAAGGGAACTCTTATACATTGTTGGTGGAAATATATACTGGAACAACTATTATGGAAAATACTGTGGTGGTTCCTCAAAAAATTAAAAATAGGACTACCAAATGATTCAGCAACTCACATCTGGGCTTATATCTGAAGGAAACAAATCAGTATCTCAGAGAGATATCTGCACTACCATGATCATTGCAGCATTCTTTGCAATATTCAAGGTGTGAAAAAACTTAAATGTCCATTGATGGATGAATAGACAACAAAATTGTGGCATATACATATGATGGAATATTATTCAGCATTTTTAAAAAGGAAATGATTCCATTTGGGATCATCATATGGACCTAGAGGACACTATTTTAAGTTAAATAAAGCAAGCACAGAAAGACAAGTTTGGTATGATCTCACCTACATGTGAAATATAAAACAGTCAAATTCAGGCAGGGTGTGGTGGCTTACGCCTATAATCCCAGCACTTTGGGAGGACAAGGCAGGCAGATGACCTGACATCAGGAGTTCGAGACCCAGCCTGGCCAATATGGTGAAACTCTGTCGCTATTAAAAATACAAAAATTAGCTGGGCATGGTGGCAGGTGCCTGTAAACCCAGTTACTCAAGAGGCTGAGACAGAATAGATAGAACCCAGGAGGCGGAGGCTGCAGTAAGCCAAGATCACACCACTGCACTCCAGCCTGGGCGACAGAGTAAGACTCTGCTTCAAAAAAAAGAAAGAAGTCAAATTCCTAGAAGCAGAGGGTAGAATGGTGGTTGCAAGGGATGCAGGGAGGGGAAACTGGGGAGGTGGTGACGACAGAGTACAAAGCTTCAATTATGCAAGATAAGTAAGTTCGGGAAATCTGCTACATGGCATACTGCCTGTAGCTAACAATACTGTATTTTGTACTTAAAATTGCTAAAAGATTTTATGTTAAGTGTTTTTGCCAAAAA